AACAATAGAATAGTGACCAGAGTGGTAACAATAGAATAGTGACCAGAGTGGTAACAATAGAATAGTAACCAGAGTGGTAACAATAGAATAGTAACCAGAGCGGTAACAATAGAATAGTAACCAGAGTGGTAACAATAGAATAGTAACCAGAGCGGTAACAATAGAATAGTAACCAGAGTGGTAACAATAGAATAGTGACCAGAGTGGTAACAATAGAATAGTGACCAGAGTGGTAACAATAGAATAGTGACCAGAGTGGTAACAATAGAATAGTAACCAGAGTGGTAACAATAGAATAGTAACCAGAGTGGTAACAATAGAATAGTAACCAGAGTGGTAACAATAGAATAGTAACCAGAGTGGTAACAATAGAATAGTGACCAGAGTGGTAACAATAGAATAGTAACCAGAGTGGTAACAATAGAATAGTAACCAGAGTGGTAACAATAGAATAGTAACCAGAGCGGTAACAATAGAATAGTAACCAGAGTGGTAACAATAGAATAGTAACCAGAGTGGTAACAATAGAATAGTAACCAGAGCGGTAACAATAGAATAGTAACCAGAGTGGTAACAATAGAATAGTGACCAGAGTGGTAACAATAGAATAGTAACCAGAGCGGTAACAATAGAATAGTAACCAGAGTGGTAACAATAGAATAGTAACCAGAGTGGTAACAATAGAATAGTAACCAGAGCGGTAACAATAGAATAGTAACCAGAGTGGTAACAATAGAATAGTGACCAGAGTGGTAACAATAGAATAGTAACCAGAGCGGTAACAATAGAATAGTAACCAGAGTGGTAACAATAGAATAGTGACCAGAGTGGTAACAATAGAATAGTGACCAGAGCAGTAACAATAGAATAGTAACCAGAGTGGTAACAATAGAATAGTGACCAGAGTGGTAACAATAGAATAGTGACCAGAGCAGTAACAATAGAATAGTAACCAGAGCGGTAACAATAGAATAGTGACCAGAGTAGTAACAATAGAAGAGTAACAATAGAAGACTAACAATAGAATAGTGACTAGAGTAGTAACAATAGAATAGTGACCAGATTGGTAACAATAGAATAGTAACCAGAGCGGTAACAATAGAATAGCGACCAGAGTAGTAACAATAGAAGAGTAACAATAGAAGACTAACAATAGAATAGTGACTAGAGTAGTAACAATAGAATAGTGACCAGAGTGGTAACAATAGAATAGTAACCAGAGCGGTAACAATAAAATAGCGACCAGAGTAGTAACAATAGAAGAGTAACAATAGAATACTAACAATAGAATAGTGAATAGAGTAGTAACAATATAATAGTGACCAGATTAGTAGCAATGGAAGAGCAACCAGAGTAGGAACAATAGAAGAGTAACAATAGAAGACTAACAATAGAATAGTGACCAGAGTGGTAACAATAGAATAGTGACCAGAGTAGTAACAATAGAATAGTGACCAGTAGTAACAATAGAATAGTAACCAGAGTTGTAACAATAGAAGTCTAACCAGAGTGGTAACAATAGAATAGTGACCAGAGTGGTAACAATAGAATAGTAACCATAGTTGTAACAATAGAAGATTGACAAGGAGGTGACTGATCGCCATCGAGCGAGGTTCCAGCGTTATTCCGCGAGTGCTGGATCGTCAGATATCTTGATCGTGTCCCGTTGGATTCTATACAAGTGCAGTGAGGTAGGAGCTGAGTGCTTCCTCCCCCCAGAATTGCGACCACAGTGTTCCAAATCTGGACAAATGTCTGCCTTTGTTTTGCGTTGTATCTTAAACTTTCTTCACACCGTACGTAGCCAACCGGAGGTGCGTTGGGCTCTGTTGACATCCCGCAAATGTGCACTTGGTCCGTCAGCCCCTGGTGCGATGGATCTGTGGATCGAACCCCGAAACAGGGTATTGAACTTGTGACTTTCTGTAGGAATTACACCGTTGACCTCTTTGAAATTGGTTCGTTGAAAAGTGTGCTGTTTTGCTGAGCTGCCCAGACGCCTGTGATAGCAGCATTGCCATTGGTCATACTGCGCGAAGATTTAGTGTTGCGGTGATAATGTCGTTTGGACTCCCAACACGAATACGCTTCCAGGGCAAATAATCAGCCAGGTTGAGATTCATTCCTTTTTCCCAGATTTGATTAATGAAATTAGATTCGTACAATCGAATGTGAAAGTATAATGTAGGCAATAACCGCTGTCATCGGTCAACTAAAATGAACCACTTATGTTTTGATTCCAAATCAGGTGAGACCGTACTGGCATTGGATCACAGCTCTTTGGATTGAAGTGTGCAGTTGAAAGGACGGTATGAGCTATCGAAGCAATTCTAATAATAATAATAATAATCGCCATAAGAATATGGGAAGCAGATATTATTATAATAAACAACAAGAAGTTCACAAAGTGGACCGGGGAAAGAAAAAAAAAGGTTCTTAATGAATATAGTGGAATGAAAATAACACCGCACTTGGTCGGCATTACTCGCGCGATGAGCAAAACGTGGGTTCTCCGACCTCTTTCAAAACATCTGACCAGCGTGGGAGATTGGGCCAAATTGTCCCATAGAGGACTTGTCGATGGATGTCTCAAGCGGAGTGCCATTCCGTCAGCAGCGGCATGATGAAGTAACTGCAGGGCTTTACCTTTTAACCTGGGCTTCGTGGTGAAAAGTGCAAACTTCACTGTGCATGAGAACTTGGATTGATTCTGCCCAGGATTTGTACTGTAGGTTCTCAATGAAACTGACTCTGTGCTCAAATAGAGGCATGGCATTTCGCACTTGAGCTATTCAGCTGCATCTTATATTAATACTTTTAAGGCATGCCCCCAATCATAAATCCTTCCTGAGCAACACGGCAAGGCACACTTGGAAGCATTTCTAAATTAAAGTGCGCGTGCATACGCTGCACATTGCTAAACATGTATGATCACCGTGTGCGAGATGAAAACCAACACGACACGTCAAAACGGCGTGGGTTGGGTACAGGAAGCTTCGTGCAATGGGAAGCCGGGAAGGCATTTGTATTTCAGCAGACACACTCTGCATTAAACAGGTTAAATGCACACGGACACAGCATATTTATTAATCAGATAAGACAAATTGGATGGCCTGACGGCAGTGACAGCCGGGAAGGTGGTGGTCTGATAGAAATCAGTAGTCGCAGCCCTTGTTAGAGACATCCTCTATCACTCAATAGGTAAATCATTAGACTTAATTATGGTAATAACAGGCATAAAGACAGATAGTTAATAAAGGCAATAGCTTATCCATGCCATCTGCTGTACATCCTTCAAGCGCATAACAAACACTTTTTTGTTCCTTTCGTAGTCGGCGATGTAATTGCCTTCAAAGAACGCGGACCATTATCATGTTCTGTTCCTGCCTTGGTACAGAAGGAATTAAGCATGGGCATAGGCCCCACTGCAAGCGTGGCTGTAGGGAATAGCGGTTGGCTTGTGGTGTTGGCTCTGCGTTTAAAGAGGTGGGGACAAGCGTCTGTTTAAATTCTGCCCAAGGTAAAACCTGAAACGCTAGCAATTATAATTAACTTATTTTCCGTTGCACAACCGTAATAGTATGCTTGACTAAAATTCTCCATTAAATCGTTGGCAATGCCGAGCAAGATTCAGGTTTTCATTTTAATAAAGTCAGGTGCAATATGCACATCTATCTTATTTCGTGACCACAAGAGCTGGAGGATTGCCACTGGAATTGTATGCATTTGTCCAACGATTCCACGCTGGCTGATGCCTGTAGGAATCGCACGTCTTTTTTGGGCCATTCCCATGTTAACATCTCCCTTCACTTCGATGGAATTCTAACAGGGAATCGGCATGCTATTGCATGATATTACATTGTGATTCTATGGTAAAAATGTAGCTCAGAGAAATTTAAGCTTATTTACTTGTCTCTAGCATTCCTGGCCAGAATGGAAATCCAGACCAATTCGAGGCAGCCTGAATCGTCTTTGAAATGCGTTTCTCGATGCACAGTACTTGGAATTGGCCATATTACTCGGCATCAAGGCCGAACTCGGCATGATCCTTATACCTCTGCCGTCGCACTGCTAAGTAGGATGTATTGTATCGTGGGTCAGTTGGCTCAACGTTCAGATAATTACGTCTTTCTTCGGCTGCTGTTTATTTGCCTACAAAATGTTTTTCTGTAAAATCACTGTAAAATTGTTCAAACAAAAAAGGCATCCCAAAGAAGGCCAGGGCAAATATTTGCACCGGTTTTTTTTGTTTGCATGAAAAAATGCATTTGAGACTCAGTCATTGGTGGTTAAGAAGGATAAATATTTACCTCCGTAAAAATGAAGTCATTTCTCCTTCCGGCTGGAATACCCAGTGATTGTTGGTTGAGTGAAATAAAATTAAGAGCATTACCTTTTTGCATCTACACGTGTTTTTTTGTTCAAACTTCCAGCCACGACACAAATGCTCTCACCACAGCGCCACTTACTTGTATCTTGCTCTTGTCGCTGGCGGTGATAATGAGAACAATAACGATGGTAAAAGTTTGCAGAGGTGCACCCCTGCAATTGATTACTCAGCACTACTGGTGGCAGAAGTGCACCCACGAGAGGAACCTCTAGAGAGCCCCTTGAGTAACGGTTAGCTGGCCAAACATCTTGGAAGAGAATGATAATGATATCCATAGTAGTAGGATTAATAATAATAATGAAAATGACAGCGTCATTGCATCTGGAGCTGCCCGGGGCTGAGCTCTGGGAGAGCTTAGGCAGGTTCCTGATGGTTTGAAGTTTTGGTGCCTCAGAAGATATTCAATGAGAGAGCAACACCTGCTAATAACATTACCGTATTTTCTATATTCATTTAACAAATTCCTTCCCCTCCTTCCTGCCTCCTCCCCCCCCCCACTTTCTACCACCCTTCCCAACCCTTGAACCGTCCCCCCTCCCGCAACTCTCCGTCTCCCCGATGTCTTCGCGACGTGGTGGTGTCGGCGGGGTCATCGCGGCGACCCCCCAAGGCTTCTCGGCCCTCTCGCTGGGCGACCAGATGTCGCTGCTGCAGAGCGCGTGGATGGAGGTGCTGCTGCTGGGCGTGGCGTTCCGCTCGCTGCCCTACGAGGACGAGCTCGTGTACGCCGAGGACTTCGTCATGGACGAGGAGCTGTCGCGGCTCGCCGGCCTCCTCGACCTCAACTCGGCCGTTCTGCAGCTCGTGCGCAAGTACAAGGCCCTCAAGCTGGAGAGGGAGGAGTTCGTGGCGCTCAAGGCCATCGCGCTCGTCAACTCCGGTAAGGGACGCGCGGCGATGCGCGGCGATCGTTGAAAATCACGTATGGCCCTTTGTGCGGATGTGTGTGTGTATGTTAAACTTCTTTCGCACCGTACGTGGCCAACTGTGCTAATCGAAGGTGCGGGAACGGGGACCCTGTTATCGGTCCACTTCTGGATGAAGGACCGCCTGATGCCGTGTCGGTCTGCAATATTGTTGAACGCACGAGCGAGTATGAGTGGGCTTTTAGAGTCATTTGTAATGCGAGTGTGGACTTCCGGGTCAGGCGGCCACGTGTTGAGCATTTTGTCGGTCAAACGTTCGCCGCTCAAGTCCTTTGCCACCACGCGGCAGCAGTATTGCGTGGAGGTGAAGGCGAGCGAGAGAGAGAGAGAGGAGATGTTGAGCACGCAGCCCAACCACACATGACCACGCTGGCCACTGCAGGTTCGTAAATGTAGAGGGACTGGGACTGATGTTAGCCGTGGCTCGGAAATGAACTTAGCGATGCGGTTCACTGTAATTTTCTCTGAAAACTGCACCACTGGCGATGTAATTCAGTGATGCAAAAGGCGAAATCAAGTCCAAGTGGTTGAGTGTTGCCTGTGGAAGGAAACTCATGGATGCGAGTGGATGATACTGAAATTCTGCACGAATATACTTGCTGTGCTGCCTCTTTCAGGCGGCTCACTGCCCTGTGGGTGAGTGCGTGTCACATGCACACAACGGCTGTACCCACGTGGATCCACGATAACCTGCATCTAAGTTGCAGGATCACCACTGCCACACGCCACCGCACGCCACAAGAAAGAAAAGTACAAATTGTGTTAGACTCTTGCCGTGAAAAAAAATGAAGCAAATTGATTTAATTCATCTTATTAAAATGTGGATTATTTAGTAGACACATCGATGATGCTAGATAATGGTTACATAATTACACCCTCTTGATGCTGGAAAATTGTGCGTGTTATTTTTTGTTTGTTTTCCAAGCCACACTAGCCACCATGGGAAAGTATATCACTACCTGGCGCCACGGTGGTGAGATGTTAACTACCTCGCCTGGTATATAGGAGGTCGTGGTGTTTGATCCCGACCCTATATATTTGGAGTTTGCATGTTCTCCCCGTTGTCGAGTGGATTTTTCTCCGGGTTCACATTTAGAAACAGGCGTTTCGAGTATTTGGCTGCTATAAATTTCCACGCGATAAGCCACTTCGTTGAGCAACCATTTGTGGCCAGGTAACTTCTGAAAACGAGCTGCACAGTATAGCTCAGTGGGCCTTACCTGGTAAATAAAAAATATATAGTTTAGAATTATCAAATAAACCTGACAACCCTATCTGGCAGAGGGAGGCCCTGATTCAGCAGTCGATCAACAAAAAGGATGTACAGATGCACGTTGTTTATGCAAATACTAGCTTCACTGGCAGCAACAAAGACAAAGATCCCCATATAGCCTTAACAGGCTGTTGGATCAAGTGTTGTTAGCGAGTAGCACCTATGAAGGCCGGCACAGCACACAAGGGGGTGGGTGGCCAGCCCCACGCCCGACCGCCTTTGTCTCTCCCAATGGCAATATTTATACACCGCACCAGGTACTCATTTGAGGCTGAGTTGACCTAGGTGAGGTCCAGGACCGGTTCAGATAATAGTCCTTGATGTTTGCTGCGAGTGGGAATCGAACTTTGATTCGCTGGGTTTGTAGTGCAGTGCACTAAATCGCTACACTATCATTCCCCCTGATAGCAATATGCACAATCACAAAAACTGTGCTCTCAAAGGTCTTCAGGACCTAATAATACTTGCAAATGAGCCACACTCAGACCAAGTGGTGTTCCACTTAGCCAGGTATAAAGTTTCAGTTGAATACAACGCAAATTGCTCCTTTGTTCACTGATGTTCTTGTTTTGAAATTGCTGTTGTTGGCCTGATCTCAGCGATATTTCTAAAGCTTTCCCTGCTATTCTTGGTCCTGGTAGCCAGCTAGTGGCCTCTCCTGAAATTACATGCCCACGTAAAACTGTACGGAGATATTGAACATTGCACGAGTTGGTGACATCTGAGTTTCTTCAAATAGCAGGCAACCTGCACGCATGTCTGCACACACATACGCCACCAGTCACCATTCATCAGTAAGCGGTGTTGACATCACCATGGTGCTTAGGCCAGGCTAGTTTCACTTTTAAGCGACATGAGGTGATAAGGGTTCGCTGGCACTATGCTATGGAACCAAATGTGTGCGTGTTTTTTTTTTTTGAACAGATCAGGTTGACTGCCAGTTTCTAGCAGCTGCTCTGACCCATTCTGCCAGTTGTCTCAATGTGAGCTTACCTGGCACTCTGGTCGACGTTATTGTGTGAGCCTCGTTTCTCTTGCCTCCTTCCTGCTAACAGCAGCCTGGGAAACATCATTCATGAGCCTGCTCCACAGAGGTCGATCCTGACACCACTGGTTGGTTGCAGCTGTTTCCAAGTCCACGCAGCTCAACTTCCCCTCTGTGCCACAACTGACCGTCACATCGCTAGCCCAAGCCATGATAATTTTTGCCCCCTTCTGTCCAGTAAAACTAAAGCTGTCTGGTGGACGCGAGACATTTATTTTAACAAACAAAATGCGTTGACTCAATCGGTGACTGTCATCGTCTTCTGCATAAGGGATATAAATAAGTAATTATGCCCGTAATTGCCCGTACACTCATAGGCAGTGGCTATTAAATTGGCAGTCATATTACTTTGTGTTGAAACATTTAATTTCACAGAGTAGAGGATCATTTAATAAAACAGAGGCTTCTAGCCACCCGGCGTATATGCACAGACACACACAGACACACGCCGACTGCAAAGTGCTCGCAAATAGGACGTGGTCCAAAATATAATCCACGCAATCAGCGATGTCTGGCTGCACTAATGGAGTGCCGGTGTCTACCCACTGCTACTCTGAAATGTTCCAGTCCCCCACTCTAGCCCATAATATGCAGTGATGCCAACCCTTACAGTCTTACTTGAATGATAATGGGCATTGCCTTTGACACACTGTGAATGCCCCAGCCAAAGTGATTTTCTTGTTTAGTTTTTTAGCTCACACGAGCATTGAGGCGGTGCTCATCTCCAATTCACAGCCCCTGAGCCAGTTAGGTGGAAATTCCACGTTCTTATGGAGTGGGTGAGTCTATCCCATTGGACGAACCACCGGTGACTTACCCACAAAGTGTTACTCACTTTATTGACTCCCCCCCCCCCCAAGGGAGTTGATGGGCTGAGTCAAGCCCCAACCACGATTTGAACTCACAACCACTCGCTTGACCAAGTTTAACAAATGTTGTCTCTTGTTACAATATAATTTGCACCTATGTTACTATAAAAAGGAATGATTTGTCTTTCATGGTAACACGCTAATGCCATTAAGAAACAATGACTTTTCCCAGGGAGACCTATACACACGTAACAAGGATTGGAAATCCATTGTTATATAATTAATGTGATTTGGGTTCTTACCTGAAGATTGTTTACTCTTGCAGCTAATAGGTTTAGGCGATAATTCAATTAGGAATGCATGTGTTTGGAACTCAGCAGTGGGATGGGGCCTTTAGCAGGTAAGACCCAGTAAGCTATGGAGCTCCTTTTAAAAAGTGACCTGGCCACAAATGAAAGCTCAACGAAAGTGGCTTATTCCGTGGAACTTTACAGCAACCAAATACTCTGAACACGTGATATTTATTCTACCACGGAGAGAGAGGGACAGACACGCAAACTCCAAATATACAGGAGTCTGGGTCGTGATCGAACCCACGACCTCCTGCATACCAGGCGAGGGAGATAACATCTCGCCACCGTGAAATGTTTAAGGGTTTCTCCTGGACCACCCCCTCTTCAGTAACCCAATGCAAAGTGACGAGGTGATCACAGTGATGGCTCCGTATGTCCACCAACAAACCCCACCCCTCTCTGCGTCTCTCTGCTGCGCCCAAAAAATAAATGCTGCGTGTCACCAACTTCCTTGGCTTCGGCTTCGTGCCTAATCCTACCTAACCCCTAACAGCGACAGATTAAGCTTTGAAAAGTATCACATGAAACCACCGATGTGAATTCACAGCATCGAAATTTTGGTTGTAAGAGTGTCTGCGCGTGTGTGTGTGTGTATGCGTGCGCAGACGGGAATGTGTGCGTACACATCGCCAGGAATGCTACCATTAGGTGTCAACAGCTGAGTTGTTGAACTCCGAGTGGCTTGCTGTAAATTATGCGCGCGTGACATCCCCAAGCTTTGTACTCCTACGGTCCAGCCTGTCTGACCACATCTAATCCCGACCATCTCGTCACACCTCCTCTGCAGGCAATGGCCGAGTTGCCAAGAGTTTGACATTTGGCCCAAGCTGTTCAGGTTCCAGTCCCCAGTTTCCATTGGCTTCAACTGCCACTTTGCATGGGGTGGTGGCGCTCGGCTTAAGCACTGGCGGAGCCAGTGGGGGGGGGGGGGGGTGGGGTGGCACGTGCCCCCCACCATGATCTGATCGAAATCCCTAATTTCGATCGGATCATTGGGGTTTATTCGTAATAAATCGGAATTTTGCGACCGGCACTGCCACTGTGTAGCATATTATTACGTGCCAGGGACTCTATGAGATGATAGGACAATAGTCTGAGTCCATAACTGGCAATAAGTAACGGCAAAGCAGTTATAAGTGACTCAGAATTGTGCACAGTTGCGTATACAGTACACGACTTCCCTGAAGGCATCAACAGCTTCAGCGAGTGCGATGCCGATCACACAACGCGGTTCGAATTCGACCAAATGGCTGCGCCATCGCCGCACACGCGTCGAATAAAAAGCACGGGACAAGTCCTCACTTACTAACAGCTCCTCTATCATTTCTCATTGCTGGAGGGGTTGCCCCCCCTACCTGAAAATCCTGGCTTCGCCATTGGGCATAAGCAACCCAAAGCAAATGCGTGGGGGTTGGACCCCAAGTGGCCCAAGGTGGAGCCCCAGATTCATGATAGAAAACATAGTGAGGGATAC